GATGATAAAATAAAAATCAGCTTTCATTTTTCTAAGTGTGGCCTGGTTTCCTGAGGTTTGGTTTTAGGCGTCCAGGGCTCTCCCCTTGTGTTTTTATGAAATGCACGCACACATTACACAATTTCCCTTCTTTTAGGAGAGAGCTGGGTCTTTTGAATAGCATTTTTCTCTAGTATTGTCTGTGTGTACCCCGTTTTTATTGCTTTCCTAAGCTTGCCAAGGGCAGTAAGACCAGCGATGATGGACTGCTAGCCTTGCTTACCTCGTGTGGATGGAGTAACTGCAGGACGTCCACTCTTGCGTGGTCTGGTTTCCCAGGAGCGAGGGGGAGGAGCTGCAGGACGCAGAGTGGAAGGAAGAGCCTTCATGTTGGAGGGGAGTGAGCGTGAGGGGCTTCCCAGGAGGAGCTGAAGGCCCCATCCCCCACGTGGGAAAAAACGAGCGTGTTTGTCGTTCAAGGCCCTAAAACCTTATTTTGTGAATGTGCAGGTGTGAGATGCTGTTTAAAGGCTGTCTAGTCACGCAGGCTGGTGCTTTAATGAGGACAGTGTTGAAGCTCTGACACCATTAAAAGAGTTAACTGTGGACGCGGCTCCTGAAGGCTCTGTCCAGACCTGGCTCAATAGGGCAGCTCAGGAGCCGTGGCCCTTCCGATGGAGCCCGGCAGCCTCAGGGCTCAGCACATGCTCGCCCATTCCCAGCTGCCTCTGCGCTCGCTGTTGAGACTGTGTCACGCCATGTCCCATGTCCATGGCTCGGTCAGGTGGCCCTGACCAGTCATCTTCCTCCCTCATCCACCTGATCTTTCGAGCACCAGCCTTGGGGATAGCATTCTCCAGGTCCTTCTGGACCCTTCTGAGAGTATTGTCCTGGGTTAAATCGTGAACCCCCAAAAGGTATGCTCAACCGCAACTGGAAAATGCGACCTTATTGGGAAAAAGGGTTTTTGTAACTGAAACTAAAGTCTGTAGTTAAGGTCACCCTGCATTGGAGTGGCCCTAAATCTAGCGTCAGCTCTGTAAGAGGAAGGAAGGGGACGGGCACAGAGCAGGAGGCCACGTGAAGATGGAGGCGGAGGCTGGTGCAGTGCGGCTACCAGCCAAGGAACCCGTCACAGGCCAGATTCTCCCTCAGCCTCAGCACCAAGCCTGCGGACACCTTGATCTCAAACTCTGCCTTCCAGGACTGAGAATAAATTCTGTCGCTTTAAGCCACTCGTGGGAATTTGTTATGGCAGCCCGGAGCAACTAGGACAGGTATCTTATCCAGCCCCTCCGATATGTCACTGCCCTTCAGGGTAATTTTTTTGATCTTTAGAACTCGAGAATGGCCATGGGTGATGTTCCTTCCGCACCCTGAGGATCTTGTGCCATCCACAAATTTCAGGCAGGACAAGTGAACTCCTGAGTGGACAAACATAAACAAGAATGACACAGCCAGGACCAAGGATCACTGCTGTGGTCCTGCCGCCAGCCCAGTGCACGCCTGCGTGTTGGGGAGAACTAACTCTGCACCGGGGTTCCCAGCTAGTCTGCGGGCCAGCCTGCCCAAATTGCCTGTGTTTGTGAACTAAGAAGCATTTCTATGTTTTTAAAAGGTTGGAAAAAATCAAAAGAACAATATTCCATGGCATGTGTAAAGTACAGAGATTCAAATTCTAATGTCCATAAATAAAATCTTATGGGAACACAGCCTCATTGGTTTATTTATGTATCATTTTGGGCTATTTTTGCGCCATGATAGTACAAGGGAATTCTTGTGATAGGGGCCATGTGACCCTCAGAGGTGAAAATACCATCTGGCCCTTTACAGAAAGTTTGCTGACCCCTCCTCTAATGATAAGAGCAAGTTAATTTGACAACTAAATGTCAGTCTTTTTTTTTTTTTTTAATTAATCCTCACCCAAGGATATTTTTTTCTGTCAATTTTTGGAGAGGGGAAGGGAAGGAAGGAGGGGGGACTGAGAGAGTGAAACATTGATTGGTTGCCTACTGCACTTGACCGTGGCCAGGGATCGAACCTGCAACCAAGGTATGTGCCGTCAACTGTGAATTGAACCCGCAACCCTTTGGTGCATGGGCCGATGCTCTAAGCACTGAGCCACACAGCCAGGGCCCAAATGTCAATCTTAAATGTTATCACCACAGAATAAAGGGTAATTTTGTGAGGTGATGGAGGTGTTAACCTAATTGTGGTAATCACTTTGTAATATATGTGTGTATGAGATCATCACATTGTACCCCTTAAATTTATGAGTTATATGTCAGTAATATCTCAATAAATAGGAAAAGTAAAGTGATAAAATAAGCTTCCAGGTTCCCCTTTAGAGACTGATTCCGAAGATATTATTTAGAAGATAGAGTGAGGTCAGGGACTCTGAGTTTCTACAAGAGTCCCAGGTGATTCTGATGCAAGGGGTCCCCACAGCACCCTGAGCAAAGCTGGCACACCTGGCCTGGAGGAGGAAGTGTGGGGCTGCAGGTTCGGGGATGTGAGAGGCTCCAGCAGGGATACCCTCGGCTCAGCTGACCTGGCTTCTTCCCACCTGGACATTCTTCACATCACAGATGGTGAGGAGGAGACACGCTTTGCAGCAGGTGGGTTTCAGGCTGGGCAGATTCTTTGCCTAGACTTTGGGCCCTGCTGAGCCCTGACCCCGTTTGGAGATTAAATGGGAAGCCTGTGTGTTGCCCCAACTCAAACCAAGGGAGGCCTAGAAGGAAGGTTAGGAGGGGTTATAAATTAATGAGTGATGGTGTGTTTGCAATTTGACAGCGAAAGCCTTAGAAGTGACTTGAAGACTTAAACTGAAACAAAAGGAGGTGAACTCTGTAGCTATTTGGGGGGACAGATTCTAGGTAGAGGAACTAACCAAAGGAAGAAATTTCCTGCCATATGAACAGCTGGAATGAGTGAGAATTCATCGGAACGTGAGGTCAAGTGCATGCAGGCCACTGTTGGTCATTATCATGACCGTTTTTACTTGAAGTGGGATTGGCAGGTAGTACAAAGGTTAGATCCCCAGGGAGGTATGCGATGCACTTTTGAAAAGATGCGTTTGCTGTGTGGACAGTAGACGGCAAAAGCAGGAAGTCTAGTTAGGGGATTGGGATAATCCAGGTTAAGTGTTGATGGTGGGTGGGGCAGGCTGTTGGTCCTGGAAGTGATGAAAAGCGATCAGATAGACCCTGGCAGAGTTAATGTCTACAAGAGTGGTGTGACATGGCTTCCTATAGCTCTGACACTCAGAAGGAGCCAGGAAAGTAATTCTGAAACGGGCTGGTTGGTAGGGAGTGAGGTGATGGATGAAGAAGCAAGAGGAGAGGGAGGAAGCATGAGTGGTGCAAATCGGGGCAGCTGTCGTGGAGGCCTCCAGGGAAGAAATTGTAGAAATATAGGCCACCGTGCTCTCAAGGAACGCGTAAGGACAAGCTTACCTTCCATTTGTAGAAGGTGTATGGTTGGTGTCCCCCCACTAAAGCTGATAGTCTGTGGAGTCGGGAACTCTGTCTTACTGACCTTGTTACCCCAACACTGGTATCGAAAAAATGTGTAGAAGGTGTAGACCCAAAACCTAGAAACTAGCTGGCCAATTGGCTGGCTCAGCAAAGGTGGGGCTCTGAGAAGCTTACATTGTTCTGTATAAGGAAAGGGAGAGGGAATTTGGGGGAGAGCAGAAACCTAGAAGCTCATGACTGAAACTTGTAAGACCTTGGGGTGGGGAAGAGGAAAGAGGAGGAGGAGGAGGGGGGGGAGCAGGTGTGAGGCAGGGAGGGGCTGAGAGAAGTCTCCATGAATACCTGTGAACAGGGCCAACCAGAAAAGAGCTAGTGGAGAATTTTAGTGGTGCTGGGCAATGGCCACCCCACCTTAGTCTCTCCTGAAACCTTAAGTAAATTGGTGTCGCTTACTCTTACGCAGGGGACCAAGCACTACCCTGTGGTGTGGGCACAAACAGAAGACGCCTGTGTAAAGTTTGCCAGGAGGGAGGCATGGGTGCTGCTTGCACACTGCAGGGAGGAATGTGGAGCTTCTCTGCTTTTCCAGGATCGCTGCTTCCCCACTGTCGGCTGTTCCCAGTGGAGGACCAGGGATGTGCAGCTGTGGCTGCACACTCACTGCCCCAGGCTTCCCGTTTATATCCCTCCTCTGGGATGTCGGAGGTGCTTCCCGATGGAGAACAGGGAACTGGGAAAGGAAAGCTAGCAGCTGCTTATGGTGACGGTTCAACGAAGCCTACTAAAACCTGCAGGCTTCCTTGGACTCACATAACTCGCCCCAAACAGCTGAGTCACGTTTCCTGGCTTCTAGAATGTCCCAGAATAGGGCAGGGCTCTCAGGTGCTGGCCTGTGGCACAGTGGTATATGCACCTACAAAACTGGATATTTCGAGTCTGTTGTTTTTACAATGCAAATTATAGAAAGTAAATTCAGTCTGGGGAAATCTTTCGGGCTGGTGGGTCATGTAGAAAGCACAGCCGTGAGCCCTCTGGCTCATGGAGTGGTTGTCCCGTTCCCCAGGTGGGGAAGGGCAGGTGTGGGACTTGCAGGAACAGTGGATGGAAGAAGAGGGGATAAGTGCCTTGTGAGGCACCCTCAGCTGCCCTTCTGAGCGTCAGAGCTGGGACTGCCTGCTCCCCAGGCTCCTCTCTGCCAGGCATTGCCCTTCATCCATGAGGCCACAGGAGTGATCACGAAGTAATTAGAAAGTAAATGGGTTTGGGGCAAGTTGTTTTGTCCTTTTAAAAATCTCCTTTTTCTTTACCATTAAAGATTGTTGTAAGATCGATTGTACAGCACATGACACACAGGAGGGGTAGCATTAATTCCGATTGAACCAAGGCTCTGCCCAGGGTCCTGCATGTACCTCTTCTTCTCTCCTGAAGCTTATTCATACTTTTCCTGCTGACACACGGCCACATCTTACACAGTGCGTTTAAGGTGGCATGTAGCCAAATAAGTGGCCCCAGCAATCATTCATCCATGAATGAACCCACGAATCAGACTTGCTCAGACTGTTCTCTGGGTCAGGAACAGATACGATCTGCTTCTGGAGATCCTATCTACTGTCCTATGAGACAGCCTGGCAGAGACAGTGTATATAGAAACCCTGCCTGATTCTAGTCTCCACTTGCCTGAGAAGGACTTGAGAGGTAAGACTGGTTGATCCAGAGCTCAGCCCCAGACCTAGTCTGGAGGAGATGAGGGCTTCATCTGCTTCTTCTTACAGGATATTGCCCTGGAACTTGAGTCAGGGATCTGCTGGTGGGAAGAAAACACAACGAGCAGTCGCACTTCTCTGTTCTCTGGTTTTGTCTGACCTCAGGCGGTCTGGAGATTGGAAGAAGCCCTACCCATTGGAGCCTTTCTCTATAAGACAAGACAATATACAACTGGTAAGTTCTAACCAGGGACCAGGGGGTGAATAAGAAGATACTGTTATCGGTGGAAGTGGGCTTCTTGGAGTGCCGTGAGGCCCCCACAGGAGGATGGGGTTTCATGGAAAGCTTTATTAATGATGTAAAATTAAGGTGGTTGCCTTCCAAGGTCCCATCTCTGTCCATCTTGCCATGGAAGAAGTCCAATTTTGCCTTTAGCAGGGCTAGGATCAAGGCCCTGCCTAGAATTTCTGTTCCGTGTTAAAGTCCAGTCCAGCACCTGGCTAGCTTAGCTGTGTTCCCAACTGGGTCCGTTGTGTGTGGGGTCAGCATGGCATGGACCATGTGTCTGTGTAAGGCCACCTGACTACGGAGAGAGACCAGGGGAGCAAGTGCAAGTCACAGAGCAAGAGAGAGAAAGAACAAGAGCAAACAAGAGAGAGGTAACTCTGGGGTTTTAACCAGGAGCTTGTCCAAACTAACCAGTTAACTCTTCAAGATTTCACATGCTTCTGATGGGGTCACCCCCCAGCCAATCTATTGTTCCCCAGGCTAGACTGACAGGCCTACACCCCGACACCCTCCCTGCAGCCCCCGACTTCTGCACATGTGCCCATCTCCCCCTTTGTTCTATCCCTTCCCCCAGTGACCTGCAGGGAGTGGACTGGTGGTTCCCTGAGGAACATGAAGCTGCCCAGATGAGCATGCTTATAGTTTGGGGCCTCCCCTTTGCTTTTCTTCTTTTATTAATATTAACTAGTTAATTATGGCAATAATACTACAGAGAGAAATGTTCTTAATAGGTTTGAGAAATGAGTAGAGATGTTTTTGGTTTGTTTTAGATTGACAAACACCCTCTCCCACCCTCAGCTCCCCACCCCAAAATCAGCACTTCTTCATACAGTTCTCCCTAATGCAAAAGAAATTGGGGTAACAACACATGAGCAGGGAAGGCTAAGGGATATATTTTTGACACATCTTGTTTTTCACCCATCCTCACCTTCTTCCCTTTGGCAACTATCAGCTTATTCTCTGTACCTATGGGTCTGTTTCTGTTTTGTGTTGTTTATTCTTTTTTTTTTAATTAAGATTCCACATATAAATGAAATTGTATGGTATTTGTCTTTCTCTGTCTGACTTACTTCACTTAGTATAATGTCCTCCAGGTCCATCCATGTTGTCTCAAATGGCAAGATTTCATTCTTGTTATGGTGGAGTCATATTCCACTGTGTAAATGTACATCTTCTCTACCCACTCATCTATCAGTGCCATCTACCTGCCCTCAGAGTCTTCAGCCATGCCAACCTGCCTGAGCACTGTGGGTGGGATGAAAAGAAAGCAGGCCTCTTAGGAGTGTCCTGCATAGGGGTGGGGAGGCAGGCTCACTGTGCTCTCTACTCGCCCATGGGAGAGTCATGGCCACTGGGTTAGGAGTGTCCCGCATGGCAGGGAGCCAGGATCACTGTGCTCTACTCCCCATGGGAGAAGCATGGGCCACAGGGTTAGGAGTGTCCTACAGGGAGGGGAGAAACTCACAGTGCTCTACTCCCCCATGGGAGAAGTGTGGGCCATGGGTTTAGGAATGTCCTACAGGGCCGGGAGCGGGCTCACAGTGTTCTACTCCCCCAGGGGAGAACCTGGGCCACGGGGTTAGGAGTGTCCTACAAGGCGAGGAGCGGGCTCCCTGTGCTCTACTTCCCCATGGGAGAAGCCTGGGCTTTGAGGTTAGTCTTGACTGAATTGTGCTGCCTCCTTGGAGGGGTGACATGAAACTGCTGTGCTTCCATTCCTGGAGGTTTTGATCCTTTGGACTCTGGGCTCCCACAGAGGAACTTTTTGTCCCCAGGTGGTTGTCAGAACTGGTGGTGGAGGGCTGAGGGCTGAAAGGTCTTGTTCTGCCATCTTACTGACATTATTTTTTTGAAATGGAAAGTATTTAAAAGCAGAATGAGCATGTCATCCAGGTTGACAACTAGAGGATGACGACTACAGGTAGATGAGTACAGGTTGACGAGTACCCATATAAGGCTCCTGACACCTCAAAATGAGGCACTTCATAATTTTCTGGTGAATCACGGTCCACTTAGCACAGCAATGCAGGCGTCTGGGCTTTATTTAACTATCTCATGTCCACCTTTGTGACAGCCACACTCTTGTTCTGTTTCAGTCACAGCAAGACTCGATAAGATCTTAAAAAGCATGGGCTTTGCAGCACTGAACATGGGTAGTTCACACACACACTAACAATCAGTCCTCCAGGGGGACTAACCATCGTACAGTGTGGCCAGCTTGATGGAATTGTGGTGGCATAAGGAAGTGCGTACATTTGGTTTTGGAGGGGAACTTACCTCCTCTTTGGCACTTCCAACAAGTTAAGCAAGTGCTCATTGGTCCGCTGACCCAGCAGGGACTCCAGGTCTAGGTATCTCATCTGTTCACTAAAGACCATCCTGATGGACAGTTATTTAAGGAAGACCCAGGGCCTTTGCACATGCATGTGACTTCACTGTGTAGACACAACAAAGGCCTATGACACAGTCAAGTTACTGCCAACTCTCTGAATGACACATGAAACTCATTTAATCTTATCTGTAAGACCCACTTGATCTTCATGTTTCCCTTCTCTCTGCCCCTAGCAACATGCCCTCCATGTTTGAGAGAATTACCAAGAAATTGGTCAAAGAGATCGGAGACCAAGAGCTCAGACCTGTCAAATGCTTGGTGAGCGCCACCAAGATACACCGGTTTTCTCTAATACGGAGGAAGAAGGCTCGCTCTCGGTTTTGGCAACTACCCGATATCCCACTTGACGTCTCCCTCATGCACATCCTTGAACCAGGTTCTTCAGTCCCAGGTATTGTCAGCCAGGGGCATAGGAGGCAGGGGCTGCAAAACAAGGGTGCAGGGAGAAGGGGTGCAGCTGGCAAAACATGCTGAGACACCCACACAGGGGGACTTCATCATTCCTTAGGGTTAGGACAGTATCCCTGTTATCCAGCCCCTGGGCGGATTCAAACATCCTCAGGAGTAATTTACACTCAAAATGTCGGCTGATGAGTTAGCTTCTCGGTGGAGATTAAGTTGAGTGGGAGAGCTGGGCAAGCTAGGGCTCAGTCGTTCCGTTTCCATGCCATTTCCCAGCTGTTCCAGAGGGAATTCTTGGCTGAACCTCAGGTACCTTGTTCGTTTCCAGACACTGCTGTGGAAGTGTCTGCCGACTTCAGTGACACCGAGGTCAGGAAGCAGCAGGCGGCTGGGAGCGTGAATGCTGGGGCAGAAGTGGGCTTCTCGGAGGAGACTGCTGCCTGCCGAGGGTCCTCCCTCAAGTACCAGATTGTTAGCACCCCACATGAAACCTGGCCAGAGCTTCAGAAGAGGTGAGGACAGGGGGAGGGACCTGGTCAATGGGCCCCACGCAGAGCTCTCCTCGTGGGCAAAGAGGCTCAGAATGAAGAAAATGACACCCCAGATCACGCTGCCCTTCTTGGGTATTCACACATCCATTCATTCGTGACCTCCTGGTTCAGAGCGGTGATTAGTTATTTAATAAGTCTTCATTAAAGCTGCGGATGTCCATTACTATGCTGTTTTGTGTTGAGAATAGAGTAATGACAAGACATAAAAATCCCTGCCCTAAAACGTATTTACTGGGGCAGGGGACATGCAGGGAGAGAGAAAAATAAGCAATAAAAAATAAGCCAAAGTATTAATTTAAGTGAGGCAAAGGCTCTGAATCTCTTTGTTTAAACAAAGTATGGCTCAGTGTCCTAAAATTTAATTTACCTCAGTGCCTGTGGGAAAAGACCTTTTAGAGACAGATATTTCAATTTAAAGTTTCGTTTTAAAAAAATATGTTTTTATTGATTTCAGAGAGAGGAAGGGAGAGGGAGAGAGAGATAGAAACATTAATGATGAGAGAATCATTGATTGGCTGCCTCCTGCATGCCCCCTACCAGGGATCGAGCCTGCAACCCCGGGCATGTGCCTAGACTGGGAATTGAACCATGACCTCCTGGTTCAGAGCAACACAGGCCAGGCCTAAATAGTATTTCTGTCAGTGCAAAGAAATATTAAAGTAAGCAACTGGTAAAAATCCCAGGGTATTGAGACTGAAAGTTGCTTTGACAGGGCATGGCACTGTTTCTGTATTTCTGGTGTCTTGTAAGACTCTTATTAGAACTAACATTTACGAAGACTTTATGGTGTAAAAGAGTATGTGGCCGGAAAATAAAATAAAATTTGTCCTAGAAATTGTTTTTAGCAGTTGAAGAGGCTCCAATTTGAGGGACACTTTTTATTATCCAGCACCAAGAAAGAAAAGTCTGTCTAAGGTCAAACTTGAAATGTGAAAAGAAAGGCAGTGAAACACTTTTGATAAATGGATGTGGGTAGTGTCAGGAGCTGGTGGAAGAGGGGCTGGAGGGAGGGGCCTATTTAGGTCTTTCTGTGAAGCTAACAGTTGAACTGAGACCTGCAGAATAAAGGGAGCAAAGAGCAGGAGGAAAGTGGTCCAGATGAGGGGTTTGAAGCCTGGACCAGGACCAGCTTGGACCAGCCTGGCGTTTCCAGGAGCTGTGGGGAGTCAGTGAGGTGGGAGCTTAGCCAACCAGGATGAAGGTGACAGGAGTGAGGCTTGGAGGTGAGTGAATTTCAGATGACACAACATCTTAGAGACACGGTGAGGGCCTTGACTTCCCCTAAAGGGCGACGGGAAGACTCATACTGGAGGCTGTGACCTCCTCCACTGAAAAGCAATGCAAGGATCTCTGAGTATTTCCCTCCGCTCTCTACAGGGCGCCAACCCAGTGGGGCCTTAAGTGGAATGAGTGTTGAGTCTGAGAACAGACATGCAGATGAAATCTGTCTTCAGTACTTTAAACCCGTCATGTCCCCTGCCCAGACCTCTGTCCACATCCCCTTGTGCTTGTCCTGGAAAGTCATCCAGCACCTCTTGCTTCATCATGTTTATCCATTTGCCACCACCTCACCCTGACTGTGCCTCTGGACAATGGTGGATGAGGGTCCCCAGCTCTACAGTCAAGCTCCCTAGGGACTGTTGTCAACCAAGTGCACCTGTCCACTCCCGGCCTCTTCAGGTGGGAGGCCCCGGCACTGGGCATCTATCTACCCCCGAATAGGACCAATATAATTTTGGAAAATGATGATGCCTTTCACAAAATGGCCTGTTTACTCTCCTTCCCACGCCCCCATCAGAAAATGGGGGCCCCTCCACCCTGCGTAGCAAAGAAGATGTTTCGCTTTCCTTGGTAACTTACCCCATGTGCCGGGATCTTTCTGCCTGTGGCGGGAACACCCCTTCCAGGTCCTGAGGAGGAGGGTGACCCAGGGCCACCTGGGAAGGCATCTCTTCCCACTCTGATCCTCTCCTCCCCACAGGAAACTGCCAGACCCTGAGCCGTACTTTCTGAAGCAATGCCGGGAAGCAGGGGTGAATCTGTATGTTGTGACTGACACCGTGGAGCTGCTCAACAGCCCTGTGCTGCAGGATCATAGCAGTGTGAAGGTCTCAGGGATATGCTTCATCCCTTGGAATATTTTTGTCAAGGTATGAGGTGGAGACACTGATCGATAAAAAGCAAGTAGATTTAATTATGTGGTATTACATTTCCTTTGGTAAGGGATGGATTATGGCAAATCTAAAGGGGTGGCTGCCGTACTGTCTACAGGTCCAGTTTTATGCTGGAAGAAGTGAGGGGCCCCTATTACCAAACCTCAGTGGTTGAAGTTCCCTAAATGCCACGGCAAGCTGAGAAGAATGGATAGCAGGAGGGAGATTCAAATGCCTTCAGGCACATAGGATTAATATAACTCACAAAAACTAACAATAGTGCTTCCAATTAAAGTAAATTCATTTATCAGATAGTATCCTATATAATAAAGAGCTAATATGCAAATGGTCATCATGCCCTCGTACCCTTGTGCTGGGGCCGGGGGACCTGAGGTTGTGCCAGGGCATCTGAGGCTGCACCCCCTGCCCGGCGGGGCTTGACGGGGGTGGGGCTGGCCAGGTCTGGGTCTCACACAATTTAGAGGTGCATGTGGGTGGGCGGGGACTTGACTCTGGGTCCCGCGGTGCGCCCCAGACTCTGACAGGAGGGATATTTTCATATACATTTTACTAATTTTCTTTCATCTCTGACACTTCTATTATAGAAAAAGGGCAAATAGCAATATTAAAATATTTCCTCAAATTAATTCCCTTTTAATGTGCATGACTTTTGTGCACCGGGCCAATAGTGTATTCATAATGCGCTTTTAAACATTATAAATATATTTAATTCTTTATTGTTGAAACTATTACATGTCTCCTTTTTCCCCCATTGACTCCTCCGAGTCTGCTCCCACCCCCCAGCACAGGCTCTTACCCCCCTACTGTCTGTGTCCATGAGTTTTGCTTATATGCATACATAAAAGTCCTTTGGTTGATCTCTTACCTGCCCCCCCCCCCCCTTCTCCTGCCTTCCCTCTGAGGTTTGACGGTCTGTTCGATGCTTCTATGTCTCTGGATCTATTTTTGTTCATCAGTTTATGTTGTTCATTATATTCCACAAATAAGTGAAATCATATGATACTTATCTTTCTCTGACTGGCTTGCTTCGCTTAGTATAATGCTCTCCAGGTCCATTGATGCTGTTGCAAATGGTAAGAGTTCTACGAGATGTATCAATAAAGATATTGCTATGATATATGTCTGATATTTTGCTGCTTATGTATTCTTCTAAGATTTTTATGGTTTCCCATCTTACATTTAAGTCTTTTATCCATTTTGAGTTTATTTTTGTGTATAGTATAAGTTGGTGATCTAGTTTCTTTTAGTTTCTTTTTTTTTTTTTTTGGCAGGTATCTAACCAATTTCCAAACACCATTTATTGTAGAGACTGTCTTGACTCCATTGTATGCTCTTGCCTCCTTTGTCAAATATTAATTGAGCATAATGGCTTGTGTCGATTTCTGGGTTCTCTGTTCTGTTCTATTGGTCTATATTTCTGTTCTTGTGCCAGTACCAGGCAGTTTTGAGAACAGTGGCTTTGTAATATAACTTGATATCTGTATTGTGATCCCTCCAACTTTGTTCTTCTTTCTCAGGATTGCTGTGGCTATTCGGGGTCTTTTTTTATTCCAGATGAATTTTTGGAGAGTTTGTTCTAGGTCTGTGAAATAGGCCATTGATATTTTCATGGGGATTGCATTGAATTTGATTGCTTTGGATAGTATGGACATTTTAATGATGTTGATTCTACCAATCCATGAACACAGCTGGTGAGCACAGCAGTGGTGGCAGGAGGCTCTCCCTCCTCTGCGGCAGCGCTAAGGATGTCCGACTGTCCGTCAGTCAGACATCCCCCAAGCGCTCCTGGACTGCAAGAGGGTGCAGGCCGGGCTGAGGGGACCACCCCCCAACCCAAATGCACAAATTTTGTGCACCAGGCCTCTAGTTAGTGTATAAAAATGCCATGTATTTCTGAGTGTTAATTTTGTATCATGCTACATTGCTGAAATCATTTATTAAATCTAGTAGTGTTTTGATGGAGTCTTTAGGGTTTTCTATGTACAGTATCATGTCATCTGCAATCCATTCTACCAATCCATGAACACACTTGTTTATATATTCCTCCACCTCTTTTTTTCAACGTCCTGTTGTTTTCCAAGTACAGGTCTTTGACCTCCTTAGCTAAGTTTATCCCTAGGTATCTTAAGTTTTTTGTTGCAATGGTAAATGGGATTGTTTTTTTTAGTTTCTCTTTCTGTGAGTTTATTATCTTATATAATAAAAGGCTAATATGCAAATTGACCAAACCACAAAATGACCAGTCACTATGATGTACACTGACCACCAGGGGCAGACACTCGATACAGGAGCTGCCCCCTGGTGGTCAGTGTGCTCCCACAGGGGAAAGCGCTGCTCAGCCAGAAGCCGGGCTCACAGCTGGTGAGCACAGCAGTGGTGGCAGGAGGCTCTCCCTCCTCTGCGGCAGCGCTAAGGATGTCCGACTGTCTGTCAGTCAGACATCCCCCAAGCGCTCCTGGACTGCAAGAGGGTGCAGGCCGGGCTGAGGGGACCACCCCCCCACCCAAATGCACGAATTTTGTGCACCAGGCCTCTAGTTAGTGTATAAAAATGCCATGTATTTCTGAGTGTTAATTTTGTATCATGCTACATTGCTGAAATCATTTATTAAATCTAGTAGTGTTTTGATGGAGTCTTTAGGGTTTTCTATGTACAGTATCATGTCATCTGCAAATGACAGTTTTACTACTTCTCCAATTTGGATAACTTTTATTTTTTCTTGTTGTCTGAAGACTATGGCTAGCACTTCCAATACTATGTTGAACAAGAGTGGTGAAAGTGAGCATTCCTGTCTTGTTCCTGTTCTTAGAGGAAATGGTTTTAGTATTTGCCCATTGATGTGATGTTGGCTGTAGGTTTGTCATATAAGGCTTTTATTATGTTGAGGTATCATCCCTCTATTCCCACTTTGCTGAGAATTTTTATCAAAAAAGGGTGTTGGATTTTGTCAATTGTTTTTTCTTATCAATTGATATGATCATGTGGTTTTTGTCTTTCAGTTTGTTTATGTGATGTATCATGTTATTGATTTGCGGATAATGTACCAACTTTGAATCCCCCGAATAAATCCCAATTGGTCATGGTGTATAATCTTTTTTTTTAAATATATATTTTATTGATTTTTTTACAGAGAGGAAGGGAGAGGGATAGAGAGTTAGAAACATCGATGAGAGAGAAACATCAATCAGCTGCCTCCTGCACATTCCATACTGGGGATGTGCCCACAACCAAGGTACATGCCCTTGACTGGAATTGAACCTGGGACCTTTCAGTCTGCAGGCTGATGCTCTATCTATTGAGCCAAACCAGTTAGGGCATGTATAATCTTTTTAATGCAGTGGTCGGCAAACCATGGCTCGTGAGCCACATGCGGCTCTTTGGCCCCTTGAGTGTGGCTCTTCTACAAAATACCACATGTGGGCGCACACGTACAGTGCGATTGAAACTTCGTGGCCCATGCGCAGAAGTCGTTTTTCAGCCTGGGCGAGTCCGTTTTGAAGAAGTGGCGTTAGAAGAAGTGGGGGATGTCGGTCGGTCAGGTGATGGGAGACACGGCGCGGGCGGGCTGCAGGATACACAGTGCGGGGGAGGTGCATGTGATTTATGCACAAGTTGAGTGAGCCAGTCAGTCAACAGTCTCATTGTGCAGTGGTTAGTGCTAGTCGCATTTGCAAATTGCGCGAGGGTGACAAAAGATAGATGAAACAAGTATACAAGACGAGTGTGGATGGCAGAGTTGGAAGGGGTCTACCTCAGCAAATGTACCTCAATCAGATTGAGGATGTTTTTAGCAAAGGCCAGCTTAGGAGTACCCTAATTAAGTTAATAACAATGTACCTACCTATATAATTTAAGTTTAAAAAATTTGGCTCTCAAAAGAAATTTCAATCGTTGTACTGTTGATATTTGGCTCTGTTGACTAATGAGTTTGCCGACCACTGTTTGAATGTATTGCTGGATGCAATTTGCTAATATTTTCTTGAGGATTTTAGCATCCGTGTTCAACAGGGATATTGACCTGTAATTATCTTTCTTTTTAGTGTCCTTATCTGGTTTTGGGATTACAGTAATGCTGGCTTCATAGAGAGAGCTTGGCAGTCTTCCTTCCTCTTGAATTTTTTTGGAATAGTCTGAGGAGGATTGGTGTTATTTCTTCTTTGAATGTTTGGTAAAACTCCCCTGTGAAGCTGTCCGGACCAGGACTTTTGTTTGCTGGAAGTTTTTTGATCACTGCTTCAATTTCATTTGTAGTTATTGGCCTATTCAGATTGTCTGATTCTTCATGATTAAGTTTGGAAGATTGTATTTTTCTAGGAATATGTCCATTTTGTCTAGGTTGTCCAGTTCAGTGGTTGCCAACTTGTGGTCCACGGACCACTGGTGGTCCGTGAGGTCCGAAAGGCTGGCGACCACTGGTCTAGTTTGTTGTAATAGATTTGTTTGTAGTATTTTTTTTTTTTTACAATCCTTTATATTTCTGTGGGATCAGTTGTTACTTCACCTCTTTCTGATTTTATTTGGGTCCTCTCTCTTTGTTTCTTGGTGAGCCTGGCTAGAGGTTCATCAACCTTGTTTATCCTTTCAAAGAACCAGCTCTTGGTTCTATTAATCTTTTTTTTTTTTTTGCAGGGTGGGGTGGGGGGTGTCTCTATGTCATTTATTTCCACTCTGATCTTTATTATTTCCTTCCTTCTACTTCCTCTGGGCTTTTCTTGTTGCTCTTTTCCAACTTCTTTAAGTTGTAGGGTTAGATAATTTATTACCAGTTTTTTTTATTTGTGTGTGTGTGTGTGTGTGTGTGTTTGAGGTAGGACTGTAGTGCTATGAACTTCCCTCAGGACTACTTTCACTGTGTGTGTCCCATAGATTTTGGATTATTGTGTTTTCATTGTCATTTGTTTCTAGGGTGTTTTTTAAATATATTTTATTGAGTTTTTACAGAGAGAAAAGGAGAGAGATAGAGCGTTAGAAACATC